GTTCGCCTGGGGTCGAAATCGACCCCAGTCATGGATTCTAGGGTTAATCGCGTATAAAATACTTATAAAAATAAAAATATTGTGCGATAGGACATATATGTGACAAATTTATTTTGCGAAAAATGAGTGAAACAATATTTAACACACTCGAGTTTCTCTTCTTTGAAAGCCGGATATAAGTCTCATCTCCGGAAGACTCTTTATCGAGATCGAGGCCATAAATCCGAGAAGCGTTTGGGAGACTTCGACGAAGTGGCCATACGTTTGCCCGTATTTACACACCGAATACCTTTCTCGAGAGTGTCGTCATTCTATTCTCCCCACTTGGGTCGCGCGCACGGTGAATCATTGCGCACGTATGATTCTCGGAATACAGCGCTTATTACGTGCACCGCTATTATGAGGACCCCTCCATTAAGCGACGGGTTCAGGCAAATTCACGGTCTATCTAAAATGCAAATACAATTGACAAATTGATCGCAATAGTGACCCAAGAGCAATAGTATCCTCATGATTGCGTCATCGGTCAATGAATGGAGGAGTTACTCATCCGAGTTCGGGATAACTAGAAAAAGAAAAATTCAAGCTAACTTTACATTCTCTCTTTCCCTCCCCCCCCTCCTCTCTCTCTTTCAGCACAATTATGTATAATATTAACGATAAATTAAAAGAAAAAAATTATCAGAGAAATTATAATTACATCAACATTAGTTTAAATTTTTTTAGGAACCTGAGAGAATATAATTTTCTTACAGGCTTGCACTCGAAATCTTTTCTCTTCAATTTCATAACTTGTTTTTATCAATTTCTTTTATTTCCTCGTGAATAATCAAGAAGGTAGAAAATTCCACGAATTGCCACCACCTTACCTCGAGTGACACCTTGCCCTCTCTTCGCGATATTACCTCTCTGTCTCCTCCTCTTCAACCAGCTGATTCCCGACCACTACCATCTCAACAACGACGGCGTCAACCTCGTCACCGTGAGGTCGTCATTGTCAGTAGACGCGCCGACTACTTTAACAGCAGATGCGTGAATCATCGTGGCCGAGTCGATGATATGATATCAAGAGATCGCGCCGGCGAATCGGCAGTGTACCCGTGAGTTTCGCGCCGTGAACAACGTTACCTTCGCGAGAAAGAAAGAGACCTCTCGCGATTTCGTCGGGGGGTGTTCGCGTTCAAATGATTTTGTCACGTAGGCACGGTCCCTCCCTTCTCATCTCTCTTATTTATTTTTCATAAATTAATTAAATAGGAAATGTTATATAATAAATTTATTTATAAGGAAGTTCATAAAGGAAAGTGACAGTTACAATTTATCAATTAAGATTTATTAATAAGATTGACTGGATTATTATTCCGATGTCAACAGTATCTATAATCGTGAAATTAAAGAATGGTGGTGTTACTTCGACGCAATCAACAAGCATATTAGAAACGTGACCTCGCGTGTCGCGATAATCGCGTGGAAATCAGCGTCTCATTGTTGTCGATCGCGCGAAGGGAAAAACAGATTTCAGGAATGCCCGAGGCAGACAGAAAAACGGGTTTTCGATGCGTTCGCAAGCATCTTCGCGCACGCGAGTCATCGTTTATGGCACCTACTGTGTGTGTGTGTGTGTGTGTGTGTGTGTGCGTGCGTGTGTGTGTGTGTGTGTGTATGCTACGTGACTTCCTCGCGGAAGTAAAACGGACATTTCGATTCCCTTCGATTGGATCGTCGCTCGGCATTTGTCTTTTAAAAATTAATTGGCCAAGATTTTACGATATTTATAACAATATAAAATGTATTAAAGACAAGATAGTTTGGACAAGATAGTTTATATATTATATATATTCGTGGTAAAATCACAAAAATTGCGAGCTGTTGTTTGCCACCTAAGAAATAATAAAAACGATTTAATTGACAGAAAATAATTTGTAGAAATTAGTAATTTATTTTAATCCGTGTTCTGAAAAAACGGAGAATAATATGTTGTAAACTTTTTGCATTTGTATTCATTTTTGCGTACAATAATCGATAAAATCGATAATAAAGATTTAAATAATTGCTTACCTAATAATACAAATTCGTAACATGCAACTTTCTACGTAAAAATAAAATTTAGAAAAATGTATTATTTTTATGTTCAGCAATATTCAGCATACTTCGACAGAGTTTTATTAATATATTCGTCGGGACTACGTGCTGATCGCGCGCGGGAATTTGCTCGCGGCAATTATAGATTAGATTCCCCGAAGCACTTGAGAAAACGTCTGGTGCTCACTCGTTTGTTCTCATTGCGGGAATTCTTTATTCGCATAAATAAGCCGGTGTATTTAAACAGCTGTCGCGGCGAATTATTGTTGCGCCAAAATTCAAATATCGAACTCGATAATGATAAGTTCAGGAATTATCTTCATTTTCGCGAGTTATCTTCCGTTCTCGGCAATTGCTTCAATTCTGAAAAAGAAATATTTCAATATAAATTATTAATTTCTGGTTAAACTACCTCGTTTCTCTTTACACTGTGTGACTTTTTATAACTTTGTACAGAAATATTTTCCATTTCTGGAATGTTTTTCTTTCGGAATTAGTCATACATTACGTATGTATTTGACTGAAACACCGGAACTCGTTCGTGATAACATTCTTATCAGCGATTACGCGCGATCTTTTCTCGCGCTTTGATAAAGCACTGCCGACATCGTCTCGAGAGTTCAGTCGAACAGATCCCCGCGCCGCGATCTCGGCTCTCGTCTAAAGGTTGGACGAGAAATTACGGATGCTCGAATCGGGCTAAATCGATAACGCGATCTGTGAGACATCTTATCGTCGTTCGCTCCGTCGCATCAACAAATTATAGCGCGCAGAGAGATATCTTCGTGAAAGATCATTCTATATGTTGATCTTGTGTGTCGTGGGAAAACTTGCCTGACCTCGTTTCTCTGCGTCAATGCCATCTGATATTTATAGAATGCTACGGGATAAATTGTCGACTAATTTATATATCCCATTACTCAAAATTAAGACAGAATTGAGACAGTCATTTGATACTAATTTCGTTCTATATTTGAAATAGATTTACGTGATGGATTTATACTTCACCTCCTTTCTTAATCTCTTATTTTACGTACTTGTTTTTTCCATTCCATTTTTCGTTCTTGTCTTTATTACACTATAGTGTTATTCGAATTATTTCATTTTACTTCGCATCTCTCTTTTTATTCTGTCTCACCTTCCTTTATTTTCTTCCATAATTTTTATTTTATCTTGTCTTATGTCATACTTTTTAATTTAATAACTGGATAAAGAGATAATCGGTCGCGATTAAGTGAAGTTTGATAGCGGACAAAGTGTCTATATAAATAAATTCATTCACAGGCTCGATAAGAGTGAACGTCAATAATCGTGAGTGTCCGCGCGAGGACATTGAGTGTGCGCTGTAAACTTTCTTCTCGGGTGTTTGAATTCCGTACAGAGAGAATTGAGAGTGTTCGCAGTGGATGGTTTCATGAATGAGCGTCGACAAAGGATTGAGCATGCTACACAAGCATGGAGGCAAGCCGCACGGCGTTGCGTATAAAGGCAGAGGCATTTTTCTAAAATCCGTAAGTCGTCAGAAACGTAAGCTTACTTGTATCTCGCTTTTACTATCCGACATTTACTTGTTGAGATTTTTTTCAAGCGACGGCTATCGAGCTTTACGACGGACATCTTACCTTCCTCTCCTGTCCAAAATAAGAAGTCGAAGAGTGAGAAATATCACTCAAAACGAGAATGAAGTGCGAGTGTAACAAAAAGTGAATATTGAGTCTGTGCACTTCGAGTCATTCGCCAAGGAGTAAAATTGCGCTCTATAAATTGGAGTGAAAAATCGCACTCCATTTGAGTGAAAGGGCACTCTTTTCGAGTGCAGTAAATCCAGTGTTCATAGAAGTGAATTATGTCACTCTACAATGTTGTTAGATTCATTTATCAGTCGATCTTTAATAAATTGTGATTCACTATAGCCTTTGAGTGAGATCGTGTCACTCCGGTAGAGTAGCGGCTTTAAAAATTTGAGTGACAAATTTACTCTTACCTTATGACTGCCCGCATTTGCTCCAAATTAGAGCGACAACCCTCTCTTTTGGAGTGACTATCGCAATCACTCTAATTATATTAGTGGCGAAAGCACTCAATGAGATTTAGAGAGTCAATTTCTCAAACCTCGATATTTTTGTCGAGCGTAGCCGCCGGTGCAGTTTACGGTCTAATCGCGTAACGTAACGTTGTCGCGGGTCACGAACGTGATTCGCGTGCCTCGTAATACATCTGTCGAGCGATCGGCGGGCGCGTCACACGTCACGAACCGTTACGACGAGAGAAAGACGATGTGACATCATCGTGCTAAAACGACGGACGTGTCACACGCCCGGCGATGTATCGACTTCTCCGGGAGTTCGATCCCCCGGTAGTTACTTACGGCCGGGCCGCCGCGACACGTGCGCGCGCCGGACACGTGAACTCGCGCGAAGCGTGCGAGACCGGGTCAGGTCCTTTCCGCGCGCGCGCGCGACGATGACTAATCGTGTTGTTGATTGTTGTGATGACTGCCGGCTTCTCGCGTTCGCAATCGCGAATCGAGTTCAGGATCGCGTCGATATATATCCGATATTCGCAATTCGGCCGTTGCGCGTTGCCATTTTTTGTATCTCGAATTAAACGCGGACGCATATATACCTTTCAGAAGGTTCAAAGAGCGAAAGGGATGGAGGAAATGCTATCAAAACAGGCAGATGTTCTGTTCATTTATGAATAATCTCGCGTTTCACAGATCGCAAATGGAAACGAAAAGATTGCTATTTTTTTTGCAAACAAATCCGGCAGGTGATTACGATAGAAGTACTTAATAATGTCGTTATTTTTACCAATGAGTCTTATTATTAATCATTATGAGGACCCTAGGAGTTTTAAATTTCGATGAATAAATTGAGAGAAGAGATGACTCAATGCATTCGTATAACGATTTGATTGATGAAACGTCTTCTGCTATGACAAACATGCGTAATGAAAATGTACAAGGTATTGAGGAATTCCATGACCTAAAAAATCGAAATAAATTTTTGTTACGGTAGGGGATACCGGGGCTCGTTGGCACAAGAGGCAAGTTGGCAATGCGTTCCGTTTATGTATTTATAGCGAAAAAAACCATGAAAAAGTTATCACAAAATATCTCTTATATGACATAGGTACTTTTCTCAAAGTTTTATTTTAATCAAACAAGTATTACAATAGAAAAAGAGAAAACTCTGATTCAAGAGGTGGCAATTTTCGAGCGTTTCAAAATATCGTATTAATGTTCTTCAGCTTGAAAAGTAAATCAAAGTGACGTATCATTAGTTAAAAGAAAAGTTTCTGTTACTATACGACATGTTATTTTGACTAACAACAGTAATTTATTGTAATAAAACGACTGAAATAAAACGTATGTAAGGATGGGGTATATTGGCTCATATCAAGACACGCTTAGCTTGACTTGTTGTTGCCGCACGCGTGAGACCTGATGTTTGAGCATGTGATTTGCTACCAACAATGCTGATAGAAGCTAGATATATATTTATATTAATATTTTTATGTTGAAGAAAGCTACATCTAAAATAGTTTACAATTGTTTTTCTGCAACAGCATTTTGCTATTCGATCATTACAAAATAACTTTAAAAAATACAATCTTTATCAAGAAGTACATATCTGTTACCCGTTTTGTGTTTCTATTACGTTTTCATTAATTTAACATAGACTATTGTCGCATAGCCAACTTACCCCACTATCGGGGCAAGTTGGGTGCAATGCAGCATGTTCGTATTTCACTTATTACCAAGAAACTATATAGTATACAGGAGCGTTCCTGGCATGAAAATGTAGAGAAAGGTTTTCTCTATCATATTAGTACTGTTTAATCATGATAATTAGTTGTATAAAAACTCAAATGCCGAAATTGTGAAAACGGTGCCAACGAGCCGCGGTCTCCCCTATGCTTCAAAGTTGATGTCGATAAATAATCAGTTTTATTATTTCTTGTTTCGCACTTTGTTAAATTACGTGGCAAATTATTGCTTCTTGTCATCTCTCTAAAATGTTTATAAAAAATATTTTATATTATTAAAAAATTATATATATATATATATATATATATGATATATATATATGTATACTAGCATGCCCCGCCGGGCTTCGCCCCGGAGAACATGTGTATTAAGACACGCAAATAGTCTCTCTCTCTCTCTCTCTCTCACACACACACACCCCTCCCCCTTGTAAATGCATTTTTTTAAGCCAGTTTCCAAAAAGATCGGTAATGAAAAATTATACACTTCTTTAACATTCAATCAAATATTTCCCCAAAAATTAGAAAAATTTTTGATACCGATTTCCAAAAAGATAATTGTTAACGTATATTTACATTTTACGCCAATAGATTTCCACATTACTCTTGAGGTACTATTTTGAATGCGGTTTTTTTTTTAGTGGTTTCGATATAATTTTTTGAAATTCAATCAATTATTTCCCAAAAAATTGGAAAAATTAAAAAACCGGCATCCAAAAATATCGGTAACAAAAAATTATACACTTTATAGCACTCCCCGGAAAATTCTACCCCTGTTTGATCTATAATTCTTTGAGATTCAGTCTTTCCTGAAAAATTAAAAAAATTAGAAAAAACGGTTTTCAGGAAATTGGTAACAAAAAACTATATACATAGTGGCACTCTCCGGAAAATTCTACTCCCATTTTATATACTTTTGGTAAAAATTTGGTTTAGGTGTTTGGGCTGGGCGTTGATGAGTGAGTGAGTGAGTCAGTCAGTCAGGACATCTTCCTTTATATATATAGATGTATATATATATATATATAATTCCGATACAGAAAAATAACAATCTTTACCTTCATTATTTAAAGTAAAGCAGAAACAAGTCACAATTTTATATGGTCCAGCATCTTTGATACGCGTTGTCGCGTATCAAATGTTAAGAATTAAATAGCCTAACATTTTCAAAAATTATTTTCAAAATTTTTTCTAGCACGGTTTAGCACAGTTCTTCGCATTTTAGATGCTATGTAAATACATTTCTTTTCAGAAAGGACAGAAATGTTTGAAGAAGGAAAGACGTATAAATGTTACAGATTCACAATCAGGATTCGAGAAATAATATTTTTGTACATTTCGTAACGCGCGTTTTACAATGCACTTAACACGCACTCCCGCGTTTCCCGAAGCGTCGATGTCGTTTGGACGCCGCGGCGTCGCGACACGATATAAACCGATTCGCGAAGAGTCTCTCGAACGGGTTGATGTATACATACACCTCTCGGTAGCGAATCATCTCGGCCTCCATTTCTGTCCTTCTTGGAATAGAATTCGGCTCTTCACGAGCTTCCTACCTTTGCAAATCGCTTTCTCGGATATGCGTTTGTCGCGCGATAAATCCAGCCCTTATATTATATGTTTCTTATGCAATCAAAACGTTGCATAATATCGCGTATTAGAAAAAAATTGCATTATTGTTCTAAAAAAATCTATTTCTTTAATAACTTTTTTTACAATTTTATACCAATACATTTTTCGATATTACCATCTATTTAATTATTCTCATTGCAGCAATTAATATCGGATTTATTTAATCCAATTTATTTATTTATTCTACAACGAATATTTTTTGTTTATACCGTGTGTATAATTTTTATATATTTTTATTGTTAGTCGTTTATTACGTGAGCGCTGACAATAGCGCTGATAATGCTACGCTTATCGCATGCCGCGATATCTGACCCGATTAAATCGCACGTGCCTTATTTCACAGCGCGGAAATGCCAGGAAATTCCAGGTGTATAATAATAAATATATCGGCAGGCTATTTTTAGCCGCGACGCATTCATCTATTCGTTGAAATTACCTTATCGATAACGGTGAATTTAATCGAGCAGTTATGCATGTTTCATTCTTTGCGAATGTACGATTGTATCATCGATATTTCGGCGGAATATCAAGTAATTAGTCACTCCCCTTGCTTGACTCATCGGGTTATCTGAAAGAATTTTTTTTTCGTGTGCATCAACCTCCAATTATCTGCCAATTGCATCAATGAAATCTTCACGTCTGTTCGCATTCCTTCAATTGTCTATTGGGGGAGAGGCATTTATTTGCGTAATAGACATCAAGGAGATGACATAAGACTTTGAATGGTTCTTGAAAATATATTTGCGATGTTATATAAAAGACTTAATGAAGAGATAAGGGATAATTATAATACAAAGAGATTTTAGAGATGGCTGAATAATTTTGGAGATAGATTTTTATAATATGCTATCTATGCATATTACCTGATTGATTTTTATTCGATCGAATCTTTATCATTTCTTATTTTTAGACATGACTGATAAGAAAGAAATTGAATTTTATCTTTGACTTGAAGGGGGAAGGAGCGAAATAAAACGATCAACAATGACGGATGAATACCTTTTTTTATTAATAGAAATAGTACAGAGTGACAAATCAACAGAAAATAAAAGACAACTAATAATGTAATTATTATTCGAATCTCACCTTTATTGTAACATATTATAAT